GTTCCCGTTGAGGGAGAGGAAGTGCAGGGGCTCGGCGAACCACTTCTCCTGGAGAGACTTTTCAGGCAGAGCTCTGGGAACGCGAATGGCTGTTGATGCTAGTTAGTGTCCAATTTTAGGATAACAGAATGAGAAAAAGATGTCTTACCAACATACAGGCGCATGCTGTATTCGCAGACTGAGCGGACAGTGTGCCAAGAGTCCCATGCGCTGTAGATGTCGATCTCCTTGCTGTTCTCGGGGTGAGGCACCTCTGACAAAGTCGACAGGAGCTCTACGCTCTCCTCCAGGCCCGGCTCCCGGTACATGGGGAAGTGGATAATGAAGTTGAGGCGCGACGCAATGGTCATTGCCTCTTGCACAGCTCTGGCATATTGAGACAGACCCTGGTTTCCGCCATTCTTGGAGGCGTCTCTCCTGGGGCCGGGAATGATGATGCTTCGGACACCACAAAAGTTGGCGTAGGCAATCTCGAGATTTAGGACCTGTCGAGAAATGCTGGCAACAGCAGGATCGACCGAGGCCAAGTCGATCCAGGGACTGGCGTAGGCGATGTAAGTGGTGACGGCATGGCTGGGGAAGAGGGAGGTGTCCTTGGGGGTCAAAGGAGGCACCACGGCGTCCGCTAGTGAAGCGAGTCCCTTCTTCGCTTTGGCGAGATGCTGGGAAACAAGGTCCTTTACCCGTGTATGGAAGTGCTTGTTGGTGATGGGTGCCGTCACAAAGTTGACCTGGAGTCAAAGCTTAGTGAATGACAATTGAAAATGAAAGAAATTTGGGTCTCAGAAATGGACTTACACCAGCGTTCAGAATCTGGCCATACTGAAGATCATCAAGAGGCTGATCCCTCTGAGAATCATGCTGACCAAGGCTGAAAACAGGCCGGATTTGGTTGAAGTTGCTGCCGTCCATGGTAGATATTGAGACTATTCAGGCTGTAGTGCCTTGTGTTGCCTAAGGAGGACTTGTGAATGGTGTAATTGCTCAGCGCACAAATACCCCACGCGGCGGTTGTGCAAAAAGCGGTTACCAGCTGGTCAAGACCCTGGCGCTTTGGTAAAGAGAGGATATGACAAGGGAGTACAAGACGATTTGTGGTCAGCAAATCATGCTTGGTAGTTTGTTTGTGCTCAGGAAAACGATGGGCTGAGAGATCGCAGAAGTTGCACTCAGAGCAGTTGCAACCTGATGTTGTGTGATTTGAGAAGTCAGGCTGTTGGTTACCCCCCCAAGAGGTTAAAAAAGCACCAGATTTTGCGAGATGCGACCCGGTGCCATTGGTTGCACTCTGGACCCTGAAGAGAGTGAGAGAGGAGACAGTGCCCGCTGTCAGGAAAGTACACTTTACATTCTTGCATCTTGGTCTATCCAATGAGTTTATGATATACCTTCTCTGAGAGGGCAACTTCTATTAAATCACTCAGAGTGAGATATATTACATACCAAATATGTTCGAGATGACTTTGAATGAGTTCCAGCAAAATTAAGGTATTCTTTGTCAGGTTTATAGCCATGTAAAGTCTCACGCTCTCAGTCACTCAATGTCTCATGATCAGTGTGTGAGATCCTTCGTACGGTACGTCCAATGCACGAGTTTAGCTTATCTTATCATCCCACCTTCTTATTGGCCCGTGCTCATATCCACCCAAATTTTTCCCGCGACAACAAAAAGTTTCTGGGAGCCTCGCTTGGAATCGCCTCCCGAGTTTGACCTCGTCGACGTCGAATCCACGGGCCGCAACTTCAACCAAACATCTCTCTCAACCCCTTTCCCGTCCACCACCCTTTCGTACCGAAACGGGGAATTTGCGACCACAATGGCCGACTTCGAGGATAAGGGATCGAAGCGCCTGAGCGCCGACAGAGAAGGAAGCAGGAAGAAGGTCAAGAAGGAGGAAGAGGACGAGCCCAAGTACAACCCCTACTTGGCGCATATGAAGGAGGAGAACGGCGTCAAGTCCGAGGAGGGCACCATTGATGCCAGCTCACCATTTTACGGTTTCAAACCACGCGCCACAACATCGAAGCAGCACGAGAAGATCGAAGACCTCGACGACAACGCCTTCACCGGTCGCCCTCACTCGCAAAAGTACTTCCAGATCCTGGAAGCGCGTCGCGATCTTCCCGTCACGAAGCAGAGGTACGTCTATCTCGGAGTCTTATCTAGAAAACTTTCCATCTTACTGACCATCCCTCCAACAGAGAAGAGTTCCTCGAGAAGTACCACTCTACCCAAATCCTCGTCTTCGTCGGTGAGACCGGTTCCGGAAAGACGACCCAGATCCCCCAATATGTCGTGTTTGACGAGCTCCCTCAGCTCAACCGCAAGATGGTTGCCTGCACTCAGCCTCGTCGTGTTGCCGCCATGTCCGTTGCACAGCGTGTTGCCGACGAGATGGACGTTAATCTTGGCGAAGAGGTCGGATACAGCATTCGTTTCGAGGACAGAACCAGCCCCAACACGATTCTCAAGTACATGACCGATGGTATGCTTCTCCGAGAAGCTATCCACGACCACGAGATGTCGCGTTACAGCTGTATCATTCTCGACGAGGCCCACGAGCGTACTCTCGCCACCGATATCCTGATGGCCCTGCTCAAGCAGATCGCCGCCCGCCGCCCCGACCTCAAGATCGTGGTCATGTCCGCCACCCTCGATGCCCAAAAGTTCCAGCGCTACTTCAACGATGCGCCGCTTCTCGCCGTTCCCGGTCGTACCCACCCCGTCGAGATCTTCTACACCCCCGAGCCCGAGAGGGACTATGTCGAGGCTGCCATTCGAACAGTATTGCAGATCCATGCCTCCGAAGGAGAAGGCGATATTCTACTGTTCTTGACCGGTGAGGAGGAGATTGAGGATGCCTGCCGGAAGATCAACCTCGAGGCCGACGAGATGACACGAGAAATAGACGCGGGCCCGTTGGTGGTTTACCCGCTCTACGGTACTCTGCCACCGCACCAGCAGCAAAAGATCTTCGACAAGGCTCCGGCTCCGTACAAGAAGGGCGGCCGGCCAGGACGCAAGGTCATCGTGGCAACCAACATTGCCGAGACGTCTTTGACCATTGACGGTATCGTCTATGTCGTCGATCCCGGCTTCAGCAAGCAAAAGATCTACAACCCGCGCATCCGTGTCGAGTCTCTCTTGGTCTCTCCCATCTCCAAGGCCTCCGCCCAGCAGCGTGCCGGTCGTGCTGGTCGTACAAAGCCCGGAAAGTGCTTCCGTCTCTACACCGAGCAGGCCTTTAAGAAGGAGCTCATCGAGCAGACACATCCCGAGATTCTGCGTTCCAACTTGGCCAACACGGTTCTGGAACTGAAGAAGCTTGGTGTCCAGGATCTCGTTCACTTCGATCTCATGGACCCTCCTGCGCCGGAGACTATGATGCGTGCCCTTGAGGAGCTGAACTACCTCGCCTGCCTTGACGATGATGGCGAGCTGACCACCCTCGGAAGTCTCGCCTCCGAGTTCCCCTTGGACCCAGCTTTGGCAGTCATGCTTATCTCCTCACCCGAATTCTACTGTTCCAACGAGATTCTGTCCATCGTCTCTCTACTCTCTATCCCTCAGATCTGGGTCCGCCCCGCCGCTCAGCGTAAGCGTGCCGACGAGATGAAGGCGCAATTCTCGCACCCTGAAGGCGATCATCTCACGCTCCTCAACGCGTACCACGCCTTCAAGGGCACGGCAAACCAGCCCGACGTGGACCCCAAGAGGTGGTGTCACGAGCACTTCCTCTCCTTCCGTCACCTCAGCAGTGCCGACAACGTTCGTGCGCAGCTGAAGCGCATCATGGAGAAGTCTGACCTCGAGCTCGTGTCGACCCCCTTTGAGGACAAGAACTACTACACCAACATCCGGCGTGCGCTCCTTTCGGGCTTCTTCATGCAGGTTGCCATGAGGGAGAGCTCGGGCAAGGTTTACCGTACCATCAAGGACGATCAGGCAGTCATGATGCATCCCTCCACGGTCCTCAAGACCGACTACGAATGGGTCCTTTACAACGAATTCGTCCTCACCTCCAAGCAGTACATTCGTACATGCACCGGAATCAGGCCAGAGTGGCTACTTGTAAGCAAAGCCCCTGCCCCTTTTACCATTCGAACAATACCACTTGCCTTTTCCCTCCTCTTGCCGCTTACTCCCATGTGGATTCCTACGATCGATCTCTTGCTTCTTTCAACCCCCCCTGTCCTGCATTCTTCGGCACTTGCCTCGTCCTATCCATTGCATCGGAGAACCCCATAACTAATATGGATGTTACCAGGAAATCGCACCCGTCTACTACGACATTGACACGTTCGACGACGGAATCGTCAAGACCGCCCTGGTCCGGGCTTCGGAGAAGAAGCGCAGAAAGGAGGCCATGAAGAATGGTCGGTGAGCAGCCAGCGTGCGCGAGCGCGCGGTCATGCACTCCGCTCGATTCGAGCGCAGAAACGGCAAACCCAAGTCCCAAAGAGCTCAATTCTCACAATCTTACACCCACCACCACCCACTTACCTACCCCTACCTTTTTCGCCAAGGTTGCGATTACGCTAAGGCCCTGGGGACCTAATGAAGAGAAAAACTCAGAGTGATCCGATTTTGGGATTTTGGAGGCCCGAAAGGCCCCCCCTTCCCCCAGTTCGATCGTGATTTTTTGGCGAGGGTCGCCTCCATCGCGGCGGGGGCACCGGCCTACCTGACCAGGGGGGGTGCGTGTGTTGTTCGAAAGCCTCCCTTTTGGGGCTCAGTTTTTCGGTTGTCATGGGGAGAAATTCTCCCCCGTCTTGCGACTACGAACTTCAGCAATTTTTTTCTTGCTGTTGTTACACAGCCTGGGACCAGGGCACACAGCGGGCAAATCACTTTGGAGAAGATGTCATGGTCAGTCGCTCTTCTCCAACCCGATGATCCGACATGAAGAGACGTGTGTGGGCGGGCTTGGCAGGGGCTCATTGGGACCGGATTTTTTTTTTGATTTTTTACTTCTTCATGGTGGTATGGCGTCCCAGGTATGACAAAAGAGAAGCATCATCAACGGCACATAGTGATCGTGTGTGCCCAAATAGAAGACCACATTTTCTTGTTCCCTCCACTCAGCAGCAGTAGCCTCTTGTTCGTTGTGTCTGTCTCTCTGTCGTCTGTCCCCGCCTCATGTCACCCCCCTCTCGGTCCCCCCCCCCTCCCTGCCCCCTCTGATCTTTGCAACCCATCCATCTTTACGAGCCAAAATTATCCGTGGGTGGTTGTATGTAGTCCCGGCAGATGGGTGCAGATGCAGAACATGACGGATGTAGCCGGTTATCGAAAAGGAGGGGAGAGCCCACTTTCGCGAAATGCTGCAGCATTGGGTGTGCCGTGGGAGATGTGCCGTGTCATCAAGTGTGGATTCCATGTGTGTGTGCTCTGAATCCAGCATTGCCAGCATCATTTCTCAACAGCATTTTGGGTATAATTGCATGAACCAGGGTGTGGTGGTTGAAAGAGAGTCAGAGCAGGTCCAGACTCCAGACTCCAAACGGCAGGGAAATTGCGAGGCTTCATGGAAAAAGAGACATCCCGATCGCCCGACAATTGGAAGGTCCAAGTTTTTAGGTACATCCTACATCATCATACACACTGATTATTTGCCCTCTTTTCATTAACTTTTGCTCATCACGAAAGTTTGCGACGAGATCTCAACTGGACCGCATCGGACCGCAAGGATCATCAAGACGGGATTTTTTTTTTCCAGGCTCACATTCGGATTTGATTTGTCATTTGGCACAAAACGCCCGGACTCTTGTCCGATCAGACGCGCTGCTGCAGCACCCGACCACTGCCAGACCGTATCTTTGGGACAGGGTCAATGAGCCAGGCGCGTGTCCGTGTGTGCCGTGCCGTGTAAGACGATCGCAAGACGGCGCCAAACCTTGTCGGCGCAAGCTCCCGCAAACTGAACACAACGGCGCGGTGCTTCCGGATCTGGGTCCTGTCCCTCCTGTCCTTGGCTTGCCGTGGTCGTGCGTGGCGCTGCTTGGGACCTTGGGTCCCAGGGAAATCCAAAAGACAAAAACCCTTCAGTGCACTATTCGTGTAGTTTTACTCTTAGAAGTTAGAGGGCTTGGGTGGGAGAGGAAAAACCCCTGAACACGGGGACGCCACATCGTCGATCGGACGCTATGCCCCCAACACGAGAACTACTAAGGCGTCAAGACGTATACCAGGACGTCTGTGGTTGTGAGAGGGTATCCTTATGATTCCATGATTCCATAGTCCTACGATCTGCGATCATGAGTTGAGACGGTAGATGGGGAGAACAGACAACGACATGACACAACATAAACCACGCTAAGCAAAGAAAATTTACCGTAGCAGCTATAGCGCTTATTTTTGTGAAAACAAGGGAAAGAAGAAGTATTACACGAGCGGTGTGTTTTGCAGTAGCAGATGTATCTAATGTTTTGCCCTAGGTAGTGTATTCGGTTGGGTAAACATAATCCTTTCTGCCGAAACCTCACAGTGAGCAAGACAACCTCCCCCAAGAGAGCGTCGCATCCGGTACGCGGGCGATGCGAGGCGATCCCCGACCCGGATCCCGTCACACGTGTCACGCGCGTGGTCTCGACGGTTCCACCGATCGCTAGTCGCGGGAGAGGTTACACAGGCACAAATTAGAAACGTATCGGGAATAAATTCAGCCAGCAACCACCACCACACCACCGTGACCGCGCACAGTCACACTCGCAGACACTACACAGAACTACACATGCAAAAAAGAAAAGACAGAAAAAAGTCAGTCTGTGACTCTCTGCAGTCCATGGTTCTTGGTCGGTTCAAGTCTTCACCTTTTGAAGGAACATTATCCCGATTCCCGAGCACACACACACACACACACACCGTAAACCACCAATTAACCCGCTAGCCAGCCGAGCAAAAGCCTCTTTTATGCAGTAGCCAAACCACCACCCTTCTCTCTGGTACACTAAAGTTGCTTAACTCTTCTCCAACGCCCGCCTTGGAGACTCAACAACCTTTCGGAGTTTCGGAGAGAACGCCCTTCTGCAGGATTCTAGCGCGGTGAGAGGAAAAAGGGAAAGAGTGCGTGTGTGCATGTCTGCGCCTCTCCGTCGCACTCATCATCCCCCCCCCCCCCCCGTCTTTGGGGGAAAGAAAAAACACTACGCACGCCGAGCAAGGGTTCCTTTAGTCAAACTGGGGGTTCACCAGAAAGTGAGGCAAAGCTAAGGTAAGCAAAACCGAACATCGGTCACATCGGCGGTAAGGACCTAAGGAAAACACTCAACGAAGGTTTACGTTTACGGTGCGTGTGAGCACGGGCGGAAAAGAGGGCGGCGAAAAGAGCAAAGCCAAGGAAAACAGCACTTGACCCATCTCGTCGATAGCGTAATAGTATCAATCTACTACATGCTGATGTAAGACTACATTACATACTGCGTAGGTAGTCTCTCTGGTTGTCAAAACCCAGGGCTTCTCAGCTGCCCAGGTATCCAGGTATTCAGCAAGCTATTTCATCTTAGTCTGATAGACTAGACTACACGAGGCTTCGGCACTCTTGTTTTTCTCTGCCCTGGCAGTTTATTCAATCAGGGCAAAATCAGGTCAAATTATCTCTCAGTCCCCGTCCCGTCCATCTCATCCCGCAAGAAGAGCGATATTAGGAATAGTTGGCGGCGCCGCCATGACCAGGGGAAGGGGGTGAAGAAGTGTGTGGTGTGATATGACGATTCTCGTCAAAAGTGAGAAACGACAAACACTGACTTGTATGCTTGCTTTAGCCCTCCGGCGGGGGATAAGACAAAGACACATGGCCGCGTTTTGGTGGCTGATGTAAGGACAGGCGGCCGTTTACATCGCGCCCACGAGTGTTTAGTTGCCTCTAAAACCCCCCAAGAGGGACGGTATATCAGAAGTTTGAGTGAAATAACAGAGGAAGGGGGGAATAGAATCATGCACAGCAGCAGCACAGGCGCTTCTCGTATACGCCGGCGACCCCTTCCAGACAAGATGCTTTTCGTCTAGCATGACATGACTAGAGCCGGAGGGAGACCTCGAAAGCAACTGAGACATTTCGAGCGAGGGAAGGATTCCATACTATTGATCTACAGTATGTATGTATGCGTGGGCTATAGCAGGTCCGCAGCCCGCATGGCATATGATCTGAGCGAACAGAGTGTGAGTGTGACTCGTGGAGTCGTGAGAGTGAAGAGGGAAAAAAAAAAAGCCCGTAAGCCACATATCATGTATCATGATGCAAACTTGCATCTACACTCTCATCCAGTCTGGCTTCGCCATACACATCATCAAGTACCTTACCAAACGAAAAAAAAAATACATTCCAGAAGAGACGGAGAGCCTAGCAGGGCCCCTTCTTCCGGGATCCCGCGGTGGCACCCATTCGCGCAGTAGTGGCCACACTTGCTGCGCGAAATAGAAGAGTCTAGACCACACCATCGGAGCTGCCACCGCCAGGGTGGTAGACCAGCTTAGCAGCAGCAGCGGTAGCGGCAGCGGCAGACAGAGAGAGATTGAGAAAGAGAGACGTTGTCTCGCTACACAGGAACGGTGTAGGTACAGGGAGATGCCTTCGAGGGACTTTTTTGCCTTTGGACCCTTAAGGGTGCAAGAGTACCCCCTGGCAGGCTGGTATCAAAGAAAGGCATGGCGCGCTGGCAGGGCAGAAGACTAGGTCGGGTCGAGCGTGTTGCAGGGCGAAAGGGAACAGGGGTGGGCAAGAGGATGGATGGATGGATTGGATGGATGGAAGGGAAAAAGGCGTACAAGACACTAGGTAGTCGTGGTAGTGTAAACTTTGAAGGAGAAATGTCTTCTTTTTTCCCTGCAACCACACAACCATCGCAGGAGAAATCGCGCCATGATGACGGATGAGAGCATGGCCACACACCTAAGATCTGGGCGCACATCTCTTCACCGCAGTAGCGGCATCGAATCGGTGTGAGCAAGAACCCCCAGCTGGGCCTCGACAGACGTAGGTACTGTAGTCAAGTAGTGTACATACACACGTTTTCCCATCCATCGGCGGCGCTATAATGGTCCGCATTGATGCATGGGAAGATTCTCTTTTTTCTGGAATCACCCAGAGACCTTTTGGGGGCCGAAGTGGCTGGCTGTATCGGCTGGCTGTATTATCCCCCCACCCCCCGCTTCAGAGAATGTCAGCGCACGATATGGAGAGAGAGAGAGACACACACGGGGAGTTGAGGGACAGGAATCAACCCTGCGACCCTGCATCATTGCCCTCTCTCGAACGGTTGAACCTTATGGTTGGGTCTTTTTAGTCTTTTGGGGAGGGTCTCGGTTACACAAGCATCCATCGAGGGGCCAGCTCATGACGAAAACGGAGGTACCATGCGCTTGGTTAAACCTTTCATCTCTGCTTGGTAAACTAGATAGACTCTGCGCGGTTCTTGGTACAGACCGTACGGCTAACAAAGTCCCTTGACGAACTGCGACCTGACTAAGCAATATTTAGATTTCAGTTGTTTGCCCACATATGCGTCCCGTACCGTGGTATCTAGCCGGGTAGACAGGTAGGTACTTAGGTAACGGGGGGGGGGGGGGCAAGATGGTCCAGTTGCATCGAAAACTCGGTTCAAGAAGCTACTTGGTTAGTGGTTACATCGAGAGGATCCCTTCTTCGTAGTGAAATGGATCTCAACGGACCACCTCCGTCCTTCCAGTCTTTAGTCTGGACGGGCAGATGAGGGAATGAGGGACTGAGGGACTAGGGGTTGAGGTTCGAGGGTACATGTAAGGGGAGGGAGGGGTGTGTACTTGATAAGTTGGAGTTGGTACTCCGTAGGCACGTAGGGAAGCAATCGGAAACGAGCAAGACAGGAAAATTATGGAAATGCTGGTGACGTACCCGAGGCCCAGCGTGCCTGTCACTTGGAATGACCGACGAATCCCCGTTCCCACATCGTCTGGTCTAAACTCGAGTTGGACGACAGCGCATCAAATCTCACCAAAGGGACCGCCGCGGCGGGCTTTTTGACGGCATCCAAGCGATTTGCCAATGCCGCAAGCTGCTGCTTTTCTCTCTTGATTCAGCCATACTCGGCGTTGGGCTGCTGCTGCTCGATACCTGGACACCAATCTTCAAGACGGCCCGCTGGATTGTTCGGCGGATTGAGAACTGCATCGCACGCATCGCGTGGCAGTTACACGAACGAACATGCGGGAAAAGGCAAAAAAAGAAACCATCAAGCCAACCGCCGCAGAGTCTAGGCTCGCTCGTCGAAAAGAAGCTCAAGGTCCTAGAAGGCTAGAACGTTGAGAATCGTATCACCTTCCGTTTCAAGGACTTACGTAAAGCTCTTAAACGGTATGTCGAGGCCGATGTATCTGTACGCACATGGACATACATGATACACCATCGTCACTGAATCA